GCACCCAGCTCCAGCCTTGGGAATCTGGGAGGGATGGGCTCATCTCTCCTTGTGCCAGCACTGGAACAGAATTGCTCTCAGACAGTTGATGCACTGGCAAGTGCAAACCGCTTGGCCACTGCGTCAGAGCACAGCCCCAAGTTCCCACCTCTCCATTGCTTTTGTACTAAAGTCCTCCAGCTCCAGCTCCTCACTGCCTTGTCCAGCTCCACATGTCCAAGAGATAAACACCTGTGGGATGGGCAGGCACCAGCACAGCACCTGTTCCATACAAACAGCAGCCACAAACCGGTGCTTTCTGACTCACCTCCTCCCCACCAGCCTTGCTCTGTGCCTGGAGCAGCTGCAGTGAACGGGACAGCCCAGGGGGACGAGTGACTCCAGCCCAAGCAGTCCCTATCTCCCACCAAATGTTTTGCTGCTTATGCTCACCTGCTCTGTAGTGTTTCATGCACAGGGTCTGACCCATTGCTGCTGAGACACTGCCAGCAGAGCCCTGGCTGCAGTTCCCAGTGCTCCTGAGGTGCTCTGGACCTCTCAGGGAGGTGAGCTGGGACCCCAGAGAGATAGGGACGGGTGCCCAGCACGGAGCCAGCAGCTCCCACGCTCCCTTTGTCTGGGGAGTGTAGTGCAGGGCCCTGGTCCCTGCCCACCATGCTCAGCTGGGACATTCTCAGTCCAGTGAGTTGCATCACGCAGACACAGCTTTCACAATCCCTGGCCCACATAACCCATCGGCACAGTCAGCCGGGCACCGGCTGCTCAGGCCAGAGAATCAAGGTCACACACAATGTCTGTGGCTGCTGGGGCTCCATCTGGGCACCACAGATCCAGGGAAATCCAGAGGGTCTGGGACACGGCACTCCCTGTGCCAGAGACCCACACAGCCACATGTGCTTGGGAGAGCTGGAAGATGTACACAAAACACCCTCCGTTCCCTCTCCCTTCCCTCCCTTCTCCCTCCCCTTTTTGGTAGGAAGGAGGAAAAAAAAAGAGAAAGAAATCAGTGATGGGAGAGAAAGTGGAGAGGGCTCCATGCTGAGAGAGTAAATGGAATCCAATAAAATCCAATACAATCAAATCACAGTTTTGTTTCAAATAGGTCCCAAGGAAAAGTCTGAGCTGGCTGGTGGGGATGTTACCCAAGAGAAATTCTTTCTTTCTGGAGGAAGAGAACAGGGGAACAGCAACTGCAGCAGTCCGATGGAGAGGCTGTCCCTGGCTCTGCCCCAGCACTGCCCCACCTTAACTCCAGCTCTGCCTCAGCTCTCTTTGGTCCTCAGAAAGTCTCAAAAAGTCTCTGGGAAGGTGAGCAGTGTCCAGGCTGAGCCGTGGCTGGATGCATGATCACCTCACATGAGCTCAGCAGGACGCTGAGTGACGCTGTGCATTCCAAGGACAGAGGGATCCTGGAGCTTCGTAAGTGATTTCCTAGAAAATTGCCCCTGTGTTTGGAGCAGGAGCGAAAGCAGTGCAGGGAGAGTAGCCTTCCTCTCTAAGTGGCATTTCGAGGGTCTTAATTATTTCTCAGGAGTGGAAGCATTTATTTAGGCAGCTCTGGAGAGGTCCCAAGGCTTCTGGCTGCTGCCCCAAAGCCCTCCTGGCACATCCGGTATGCAAAGCTCTTCCACAACCTTCCCTGCTGTTCCTGGGATGTGCAGGGTGCAGTGCTCAGTGCTCAGACAAGGCACAAGCACCCAACCACATCACCTGCAGGCAGGACACAGCCTCAGCTCCATCCCCTTGAGTTTATTGGGAAGTAGGAGTTCTTATGGAGGACCCCAGCCCCACCCTGTCCTTGCTTTGGGTCCCTCACACTCCCAGGTTTGTGGTGAGGCCACAAAACCCTTTTGTGATAATCCAGCCCAGCTAATGCAAAACAGATGAATCCCAAAATTAGTCATAGCTTTGTGCTTTCCCACAAAGGTCCCACTGGAGAACCAGCCCAGATGGGCCCCATGGGGTTCCAACCCTGGTGCTGGTGAGAGGGGCAGCCTGTGGAGAGTGGGGTCAGTGGCTGAAGGGACAGGGCAGCAGCACAGACCCTGACAGGGCTCAGCCAGCCCACGGGCACCCAGGAAGCTTGTCACTGGCACAGGCTCAGCCCCATGGTGCCTCATGCCAGCAGGAGGGGAGGATCTGCTCCAGCAAAGACCTGGTAAATGGCATTTTATGCGAGGAGGAATTTCCACAGGAAACCTTCTGCTTCCAGCCACTCAGATACAGTTGGGAACAACCCAGCAAAAGCTCGGCCTTGGCAGCCAAGCAACGCTATTGCCTGGGCAAAGGCTCTTTGTTCCCTCCATAGTTCCTCCAGTTTGGAAAAAACATCCAGTTTCTGCTACTGGAACACCCGGGGCAGTGACAGCCCAGATGGGTCTGGGGTGGGCACCAGAACCCCACATCAGTCCAGCTGCACCCAGGGGGGGCACGGGGGACCCAGCAGCACCCACAGCCCAGCTGGGACTGAGGATACAAGCGTCTCATACCACCCCCAGTGCCAAGCCTGGCTGGGGGCATCCAGAGCGTGGACACTGGGGCAGGACTTTGCCCTGCCACCCTGCACTGATGCATCCCCACATCCCCATGCAACCCCTGTGCATCCTTGTGCTCCCCCTGCTTCCCTGCTCTCCCTTGCAGAGCTCAGGTTGCCACAGTAACCGCTCTGTCCTAGCTGCTCTTGCCATAAACATGCTGCCACGGGTCAGCCCAGTCCAGTGGCTGCACCAGGGCCGGGGCCCTTCACTGCGCACTGGGGCGAGCTGAGCCCTCAGCACTGGTGCTGCCGCAGCCCAATGCTGCACTCTGAGCCAGGATGGGATGCCTGTAGGGAAACAGGCAGGTTGTGTCCCTCCAGCATGGCCACCAGTGGGGCTCACAGGTGGTCCACTTTGGGGAACCACACTGTGCTGGAGCTCTGAGTTCAACCTCTGCCACACCTGGCAGCAGGAACTGCCACTGCTTGGCTCTGCTCTGCTGCATATTAAAGTCTGAGCGTGATGCAATGTTTGACTGTTGTGTTACGAGTGCTGGAAGCAGGGACTGGGATGACTCTTGGCTCGGGAAGTGGTGGCATGTGCTCCGCAGCTCAGCACGTGTCCCTGCGGGAAGACCCTGCCCAGCGCCTGGGAGGGCAGAGGAGACCCTCAGGCAGGTCCCCAGCAGGTCCTGGGGGTCTTTGCCTCCCACCCCATGCTGCAAGCACTCCTCATTCAGTTGCTTGGCCCAGGAACAGGGCTGGAACTGGAGCCACAGCTGAGCTGTGGCCTCCCTAATGCCTGTCTGCTGGTTTACTCCCAAGGAACTGCCAATATTCCAACAGCCTGGACAGGCCTGTGGGGCCCCATACGAGCCCACTCCAGACTGCTTGTGGCATAAGGCTGCCCTGCCAGGTGGCCACCCATCCCCACGGGGCTGCCCCGTGCCCGTCACGCAAGTGTCCGCGTCCCAAGCCGATTATCTGCATACGGAAACCCCTAATCCGTTTGCATGTTCGGCTCCGACACCATTCCTGCTCCTCCCTGCTGTGCTGCAGCCCTGGGCAAGGAGCAAAGCCACCCCATGACCTCCTTTCAGAGCCACAAACAACCTCAGCACAGGCAGAAAGTGGGGGCTGCAGCCCCCCAGGGGCTCTGCCCAGCACAGAGACCTTCCCTGGGCACTTTCTCCTGCTGCACATCAGGCTCCAGCAGTTCCCAGCCTGCTGCCAACTGGAGCGCTGACAGAAGGAACCGCGAGATGGGAGCAGCAGCCCATTAATCCTGATACTCAGGGCTGGCCCCAGCTGAGCAGGGCAGGTTCCAAGAGGGATGCGGTGGGCACAGGGAGATAAGAAATCCCTGATCTGCAGGAGTGTGGGATGGAACACCATGTTCCTGACACCAAACAGTTATGGCAACCCCAGGGCTTACAGACAGGTAAGAAAATTCTTCACTCCAGGGTCTTCAAACACATCCCGCAGCTGGCAGAAGGGAGCTGGGACCTGCTAGAGCAGGAGAATGGGGGCCTGAGGATGGGCTGGGCCTTGTTCCCCTGTGAATTGCCCCCCCCCCGCCCCTCCCCACACCCTGGGCTGTGCCACTTGGAGCAGGCAAAGATGCCATGCAGCTGCCTTGGGAGCAGGAACAGGTTTGTGGGGTTTGTGCAGAGCCCTGGTTTGGTTTGACAGTGAAATTAATGGTCTTGAAGGGGCTGGTTCCTGGAGCAGGGACACGTGATGGCCTCAATGCTCAGCTCAGACCCAAGCAGGATGCTCCAGGGTACACGGAGGGCAGAGGAGGCTCCAGGGCACCTCCAGCGACCGGAACAACCCAGCACAGCCGGTTCCACATGACCCGCATGTGGAACAATCCCCCTAATCCTGCTCTGACAGAGCAATAATCTCTCCCTCTTGGCCTCACCAGAACACAAACCCTGGAACCATCCTGTGCTCCGTTGTGTTGCAGAGGGCCACAGGTGCAAGTGCTATGGTGGGATCCACAGCGGTGATGTTGGTGCTCTGTGGGTAACATGGCAGTGGCACCGCCCCTGCTCCCAGCCCCGCACACCCACCCACCCCTTGCCCTGCAGAGCCTGGGACCTGCTGTCCCCAACTCCAGCCCAGGCACTTCCACCCAGAGCCCACCGGGCAGAGGCACTGGCAGAGGTCCCACTACAGCCCCAGGCAGTCTGGGCTGGCAGCAGCCAGAGAGGCCCCCAGCGCAGTCACGTCCTCCCACGCTGGCACCGGCGTTTCCTTTACGCAAGCGGAGGAGACCCGGGCACAGCTCTGGGGCAGAGAAAGCAGCCACGGGGGCTGAGGCGCGGCCATAGCCCCCCGTGGGCCCCGATGAGGGGCAGCTGCCCACGCGTGCCGGGCAGGTGCCGGCAGCACCGCAGCTGGTTCACGCCGGGGGCAAACCGCAGCTGCGGCACCAGCCCCGCGTTTCGCTGACTGAGGCCCCAGTTCCCGGAGCGGGGTCAGGTGGGTGCTGCAGGCAGAGCTGAGCTCACACCCCAGAGCACGTAGCTTCAGGGCCTTTATTTCGGGGAAAGTTAAAGCCTGTAGATACAGCAATAAAATATACAAAAAAATAAAATTTTTTTACAGTATCAGATGCTGCCCTGGGCTCCAGGGACTGCGGCTGGAGGCAGCTATGGTGAGCACAGGGGTAAAGGGCCCTCCTACCCTCTGAGCATCCCTAGGGCCAACCATGGACCCTCCATCCTGCTCCTATACAGTTTGAGGGGCTGGCCTAGACCCCACAGCCCCAGGAGTTCTCCCCTCTGGCTTCCTGCCTGCTGGCTGTGATGCAACTGGGGGAGGCAGCTTTCCCACTGCCTCCCCTTCCCCTCCCCTGCTCATCTGTGTCTGTATGCCCACTGCATGGAAAGGGCAGGAGGGCTCCCCTCATTGTGGTAAATGCAGGATCACAAGCACTGACCCCCCAAAACCCAGGACACCTGCTTTTCACAACATCCACGTCTCCATTATGCGCTGCCCTGTGGCAAGTTCCTCTCCCCATGTCCATCTCCTCCCTTCAACTCTTGCCCCCTGCCACCTTATGTGAGGGCCAACCTCCAACAGAAATGCCACATGAAACCCCCGAGAAGCTGCAGATCCCATGCCTGGCCCCTCACAAGCCAGAGGGAAAGGGACAAGCCAGGTACCCCCACTGCTGACCACCCTGGCTCCAGCAGTTCCCCAGAGTCCAACAGGTCTAACTCACACAGTACGAGCAGTGTGGCCACATTCCCAGCCCCAACCTGGCCACAGGGCAGCCATGGCCAGGGCAGCCTCTGTGGCTACACCCAGGTCCCAAAACAGGCCCCAGATGCAAACGCTGCTCACATGTAGGCACCAGTGCTAGGAGGCAGCACTACCATGCCCCAGGCAGCCTCTGCCCCACAGGGACACCAGCCATTCCAGCAGGAGCCCAGGGCTGCTGGCGCTGACCAGTGCCCTGTGCCCACAGAAGAAATCTGGTGACAAGCACAAGCAGCTCCTGAACCTCCCTGCTCTCAGTAAAGCCCAGGCTGAGTCCAGCAGGAGCAGTGTCCTAGCAGGGCAGGAGTGCCCAGGTACATCCACCTTCAGCTCTGAGCCCTGTGCTGGTCCTGCTGGCCAAAACCAGGGCAGGGGGAGGCACAGGGGAGACCACCCTGCACGCTCTGGGAGGTGCTGGGCAGCAGGAGGGCAGGCCCCACTGCACAGCTGATCCCCTGTCCAAACCCAGGCTCATAAAGTCTTGAGAGTTTGGGGTTCTGGCAGTCAGGGCAGCAGCTTCCAGCCCTGGGCTGCGGAAACATTTGTAGGAACTGCAGCTGCAACTGGAGGAAAATAGGCACTTGAATGAGCAAAAATAATAAAAAACTGTTATGGAAGGAAATAGAAAAAGGTTCATCCCCCTGCCCCAGAGACAACTGGCACCACCCCAAAGAGGTGCTGCTCTGTTGGGGCAGGCAAGGAACTGGGGGCACAGACCCAGCCCCCAGCTGCTCTCAAGGACAGGCTCGGAGCAGCCACGGCCGAGTGGGACAAATCCAGGAGACCTCTCTGGAGGTGGGAAGGCCGAGCCCGGGGAGGCCCCGCGCGCCAGCACAGCCCCTCACATGGGTGAGGACGCACACTCCGGGGTCAGCTCCATGTCGAAGGTCAGCGACTCTGCGGGCAGACACAGCTGGGGTTACGGGGCCCGCGCGTGGCCACAGCCAGGCCCCCCTGGAGCCCCCCCAGACTCACCAAACTGCCCTCCCGAGTTGCCCTCCGCGCCCTCGCTGCTGTTGCCAAACTGCATGAGTGAGTCCAGGGTGCGCGGGGACATGGGCAGGTCGATGGTGTTGCTGAAGGAGGTGCTGTCAAAGGGAGGAAAAGCACAGAAACCTCCAGAGTTAGGGCCTGGCCAGAGCTCGCCGACACCCCCTCTCCCCACTGAGGGGCCGCTGGGCCATGCCAGAGGCCTCCAGAGGAAAGAGCTCTCCAGAGGAAAGGGGCCCCAGAAGGGAAGAACTGGGCTGTGGTTTGGACAGCAGCCGGAGCCTGGCTCAGCCCCTGCCATCACCCCGGGCTGGGAGGCCCACAGCACATGGGCAGAGCCCAAGCAGGGGAGGGAAGGAAGGCAACCCCTCCTCAAGGGAGGCTGAGCACACAAACACCCCCCAAGCACTGACAGACACCCCACAGGAACACTCACGGGGTGACACAGATGAACTTGGTCTTCAGGTACGGAGCAGCGCCTGCAAGGAGGAAGCAACCTCATCAGCAGCCACTCAAGGATGAATCCCACTCTCCTCCTGGAGCACAGGCACTGCCCACCCTCTGCCCCCACTCCATGGGACCCCACAGCTGGTTCCACACTGTGGCTGTGCCCTCCAGGGATGGCACAGGGTCCTGGCTGGTGACAGCCCTTCCAGTGCTGTCCCTGTGACACAGGAGCCACGGAAAGTCAACGACTACCTGAGTCAGTCGCTTCCGAGTGCTCCTGGCTCTCAGAGCGGCAGTACTTCCCAAATGCCTCCTCCTTGGGTATGTCTGGGTACAGGTACACCAGTGGGGACACCAGGATGTTGGTGGCATCCATGATTTTGTAGCCCATGATGATCTCCGCAAACGACATGTTGTTGAGCTGCTGCTTGGTGTAAGGTTCCACCGACTGGATCTGTGTCTTCCCTGCACACGGAAGGAGAATTTTGGCAGAGGGCAAAGGCAGAGCCTACCTCAGACACCCCCAGAGCAGCAAGGACAAAATGGGCCTGAGGCTGTGATCAGCCTTACCAGGCACCCCGGACTCGGTGGGGAACTGGGACCTGCCAGCTGGGTTCAGTGCCACAGACAACCGTACCCAGTGGCAGCATGTGGGCAGGGACACCCAAGAGGTAGAGACCAGGAAAGGGCCACCTGGGTTAACCCAGGCAGAGAGCTTGTTGCGACAAGAACAAAGGACAAGTGTTTTATCACGGGGTCCCAAGCCTCCTTTAGAGCCTGGAACGCTCAGCCAGGCACCCAGAGCACCGAAGGGAGAGTTCATACCGCTGATGTCCTTCTCCACCCACGTGAAGGTGATGCCACCTTCCTTGCTGCTCTCGCTGAAGCGCAGCAGGAAGGTCCCCGGGGGCTTGGTGCTCAGGATGGCTCTCTCCCGCTCCTTGCTGATGAACCCCATGATGTACCTGGGTACCAGGAAGCGAGCAGAGCGAAGGTGTGTCAGGGCACAGGCACAGCTCCTTCAGGATGTGAGCCCTGCCAGCTCTGCTCAGCAGCAGGACCCGGCCTGGCTATTGGCATTTTAAGGATTCCTAGTGGGGTTTCACTCTGAACGAGCAAAAAGTACCCCAGGAGAGCCCACCTGCACTTGGACAAGGCACCCCACACCATCAGAATGGGACCTGTGGGACCCTCCCAACACACAGCCCAGCCAAGGACTCTGGGCTGGCGCTCACCCTTCGTTCCACAGTGCCAGGATGTACTTCTTCACCAAGTCAATGATGTTATCCAGCCAGACCCAGAAAGAGAAGCCTTTACCAGCCATGTTCTCCTGAGGAAAAGGCAGAGAGGCTGTGAACACAGCTCAGAGGAAGGGAACAGCCAAGGGAAGGTGCTCAGGGAACAGAGGGAGTTCTACCTTGCAGAACTTGGCCCAGGTGATCTGACAGCCGGAGTAATTCACACCTGGTCCTGGAAGAGAACAGGAACATGAACATTTAAATAGAGTTGTTCTTCCAAAGACACCCTTTCCAGGGAGCAACTTGAGGTTTGTGTTGTTTGGGAGAAAACCAAGCAACTGAAAATTACAGCTTCTCTGCTAAACATGGGACCTTGCTCCTGGATCGCATGTACATGTGGGAAGCAGGGGACAGCAGGGATGGGCAGGACACCAAGCCAGCTCACCCAGCACTTACCCAGCAGTTTTTCTGCCAGCGTGGTCAGCTGCTCGATGCTAAGGCCACGCTTTGTGGTGGAGGAGAACTGCCAGCTCAGCACCTCTGCCACCTGGTCCCAGGTCCCAATGGGCGGCTTGGTGAAGAAGTTCACATTCTGCACCAGGGAACACATGGCCCTAAGTAGGACACAAGACAGAAGCAGGGCCGGGTCCTGCCCCAGCCCTGTTCCCCACTCACAACTTCCCTCTGTCCCTGGGACACCATCCATGCCAACACCTGCCTGCTGCCTCCCCACACCAGCCCTACCTTGGGGTTGTTGGTCAGCATGTTGTACCACAGGATAGATGCCCAGGCATTGGGCATCTGGCAAATGTTGGAGATGACCACCACAGGCAGCGAGTGGGTCTGCAAAGAGAGGATGTGAGCACAGACTGGGACATGTCCCAGAGCTCTTCTGCACCCAGGCCCACAGCAGCAACAGGCATGACCCATGTCTCACCTCCAGGTCGATCTTCAACCCCTGGTGATACACCTCTGTCTCGAAGGTGATGAGGTGCAGCTCCTCGGTGACTATCAGTGAGGCCTGGGGCAGAAGGAGACACCATGGAGCACCAGGAGACACCCACCCCTGGCCTGATGCATGGCCAACAGGCCCAGCGCTGCTGCTTGGGGCTGGCCTGGCAGCTGCCAACGTGCCAGTTGGTGCCTGCAGACCCCCAACGTCAGGGCAGGGCTCAGCTACCCCTGTCAGAGGCCCCCCACACTCACGTCGCAGTTGGCTCTGCCTCCGTTCCCGCAGCGCTGCTCCCGCAGGGTCTGTGGAGAGAGGCACAGGCTGCAGCTGCACTGACAGCACACAGCCCAACAGGGGTAGCCCAGGAGCTCACAGTACCCACCAGGTGCTTGAACTCTGCAGAGAGACTGCCATTGTTCGACTCTTCCATGTTCATGACTTTGGTGTTGGTCCCCAGGATGTTAAACTTCCGGGACCTGGGAAGAGGAAAGACAGGCTGTGGCTGACAGGGCCCTCTCAGAGTGAATGTGCAGTAGGATGTTTGCCAGGAATAAGAGCAGAAATGAGAAAAAATGACCAAAACAAACATTGCACTTACCCCCGAAGTGCTGCAACATCCCCGGAGTCCCTAGGAAAGTGGAGAGATGCACCAGATCATGGCTGTGGCCTTCCCACTCCAAGCAGACAAGCCGGTGTGCAGCACTGGCTGCATCCCAGCATGAATCCCATGAGCCCCCCAGGCTGTCCCCCAACATGGGGACAAACCCTCAGGACCCACTGCCACTCTGCACCCTCCCCTTTGACTGGGGGCACACTGGCCCCTGGTGTGGAGATGGAGCCCGACCCAAGGACAGCAGAAACAAGTCCCACCCCAGTAATTCCACCCAGTGCCATTGGGAGGGGAGCACAGGACTCACTTGTCAATGCAGACTTTGATTTTCAGCTGATAGTTCAGCTCTGGAAACTTGACCAACAACCTGCAAGAGTCAGCAGACAAGGAGTGTGAACATCCTGTTCATGCAACACCCCCTGTGCACCAGGCACAGCTGGCAGCCAGCAGCATGGACCAGCTCTTCTGGTGTCCCTGGGCCCATGTGCACACAGACCTGGGACACATCAGCCCTGAGACCTGATCCCAGAACAGGGGAGGTGCTGATACTCCACTGAGCACCCTGAGGATCTCGTTTGGGCTGCTGACTGCCTACACCAGGCTCTGAACAAACACCTTCCACACTGTTCTGCACCAGGGGCTGCCATATGCCAAGGGGGCAACGGGGGCACAGCTGGGAGAGGGTGAGGAAGCTCTAAGCAGAGCCCAGTGTCAGAACAGCCTCTCTCCATGAAGGCTGGCAGGGAACACAGCCCACCTAAGCAGCAGCTGGCCAGGGATGCACTGACATTTCCACCGCCCACCTCCCCAGCAGGATTTACCAGAACCCAGCTGGTTCCAGGAACACGGTAGGGCCCCAGCCAGCCCTACACTGAGTCACATGGGCAGCACTCCAGCCTGCTGGGATCCATCCCTCTGCCATCCATCCCCTCCCAGCACCCGCGCTCCCCAGGTAAGTTGGGGGCTGCATCTGCACCAGCATCTCCTTCAGATCTCCTGCTCCACCCTCCCTGCACAGCTCCCCTCCCTCACCTGCAGAGGCAGTGACCCACCTGACTTTGGTGGTGAACTGCACACCCGTCTTGATGACAAGGGGCCGGTCGGGGTGCATGGGCATGCAGGGCTGCCTCTCCACGACAAAAGCACTGGGGGAACAGCACAGGGACAGCAGTCAGACCTCACTGCCCACCCTCCACCCACAGCCGTGACTGGGACTGCCCACGGCCCCTGCCTGCCCTTGGCACCTTTTCATCAGGTTCCTGAACAGCTCCACAATCCGTTCCTCCAGCATGGGCCGGTGCTGGACAATCGGGTCACCCTTGTAGGATACTTTCTGTTGGAGTTCTTCCAACTTCTTGATCTGCTGCCGGGTCTGTAGCTGTGATTCAGCAAGAGAGGTTATCCTAGGGGAGAAGAGAGAACCTAGTCTCACTCTGGCTGCCGAGCCTGCACAGTCCCAGCCTGCAGAGCCCTTTTCTTCCCAAGCAAGGGGATGCTCTCTGTGCCAAAGACCAAACCAGCTGAGAAATGAGAGTGTCTGTGGCTCCCAGCCCAGTGTGTTTTTCTAGGCCACGCAAACAAAACCTGCACATGCCCAAGTTCTGCAGAGACACCAGGGTCAGAAGCTTTTCAGCAGCCTCAGAATCCCCCAGGTCTGTGGCTGGGGACACCGGGACACCATTCCAGCACTGGTGCCTACGATCAAGGCTCAGTCTGACCACTGGGTTACATTGACACCTGCAGGCACTGGAAGCCATTTTGCAAGGATATTTCCAGAGGCAAAGAGCTTGTTTCCATGACAGGTGTGTGAGTGCCACTGCTCTGAGGCAGACACAGCCCCAGCCAGCTCTCACCAGTTCTCGAGGCGGTCCAGGCAGATATTGGGTGGGCCACCAATGCAGGCGATCTGCTGCCGCCTCTTCCAGTCTGCCAGTTCCTCATCCGCCAGCATCTTCTGCACGTACTCCATGGCCGACAGCAGCCCGGCCAGCTCGCTCACTATGCCCTGCCAAGAGAGAAAGCAGAACCTTCAGCACTCTGGGACTGCGAGTTTCACATTCACAGACAAGGAAGAAGTCGCCCAGGGCCGTGTTTCCAGCACTGCTCTGGTTCTGGCCACGCAGGAACACCAAACTCCAACCCTGAAGAAGGAGGATCTGCACCTGAGGGGATCTGGAGGGCTGGTTGCCCCACGTACCCTGCGCATCTGGTCCAGTGCCGTCAGCATCTGCTCCAGCTGCTGCATCTTCTGACGGGTCACCGACTGGTTGTTCCCATTCAGGTCCTGCATGTCTGTGCAGAGGTGAGAAGCTTCAGCCACACACATGGGACTCTTCCCGCCCTCCCAAGTGACACAACACTCCCACGGCAAAGTGCAGGCACCCTGAAAGCCCCCCGACAGCCAAGGAGGAATCTGACACAGCCTCCAAGCACCTCGGTGGCTCTCCCACACCCACAGGGACCATTCCCTCCCCATGCCACTGCTGTGCTCACAGCAGAACTCTGGTTCAGCTCTCCCAGGGGCAGCATGAGTGGCAGAAACAAAAAACCAGGTTTCTCCAATTGCCATGCAAATGCCCTGAGCCTGAGCACCTTCCTTCTGAGAGCTGAGGCTGGAACACACCCTCCAGCAAGTTTCCTTGCAGGAACACACTGTGGTTTGGAGACACTAATGAGCTGCCATTACCTCCTTGGCTTTTCAAAGTCTTGTAGTTAAAATCAAAGTCATCCTGGAGATTCTCCACCACTTTCATCTTCTGCTCCAGATCCTGCAAGGCAAAAGATGTGGATTCATTCAATGCACTAAAGCACCGTGGTGGGGAAAGCAGAAGGTGTCCAGGCAGACATGTACCTGCACCCTCTTCCTGACATCCTGCAGGTGCTGCTCCAGCATCTGCTGCTTCTCCGTCACCACAGCTGCTGTTGGATGTGTTGCCTGTCCCCCTTGCTGCAGAGGGGACAAAGAGGGCATTAGGACAGGGCTGTGACACGGGGATGCTCCCTCCCACCCTGAGGACGTTCTGCGGGGTCTTCACTCCATCCCTAACATGTGCCAGGGCAGCTGGCTGCTCACTTCAGTGTCAGCCCTGTGGTGACACAGGGGTCAGGGCACTCCTCACGTGAGGGTGAGAGGAGAGATGGGGGCATCCAACTCACAGCACCCACCCAGAGCACCCAGGCTGCATCCTGGCTGTCGGGAATCTGGGTGGCAGCCCTGGGATACCTGGCCACTGACCTGGGCTGCAGTGGCAGCAGTCTGGAGGAGTCGGGACTCTTCCCACAGGCAGCGAGCCACGATGCGAGCGATTTCCATTGGCTTCTCCAGGTACCTGCTCTGTAAAGGTTCAAACCCTCACGGTTAGCAGGCACAAGGCAACCCCTGGGATCTCCACAACCTTTAGGGCTGCGGGTGGTGAGCTGTGCCAAGGAAATCATTGGACTCCCACCAGCTCCCCCCTGCACCTTCCGCTGCCCAACTGGCACTTCCCACCTCACCTGCAGGAACTGCTTGATCCGGCGCAGGTTGTGCTGGTAGAGGACGTTGGACTCCTGTAGGAAGCGGCTGTACTGCTGGTCGATCTCCCCCAGCAGGTTGTGGAACACCAGCGTGGCGTGCGACTCCTTGCTGGCTGCATACGCCCTGCATGAGGGGAGGGAGAGCCCTGGGTGCCCAGCAGAGGGCAGGGGGGCTCTGCTCATGCCTGCTGTCCCCTGTGCATTTTACAGAATCACAGAATCATTTAGGTCATAAAACTCCTCCAGGATCATTGAGTCCAACCTTTGACCAATCACCACCTTGTCAACTAGACCAGAGCACTCAGTGCCACATCCATTGTTTCTGGTCCGGGGTCTGACACGATGCAGAGTCCCACTCCATGCACAGTCCCACTCCTCTTGGCGTCACAGGGAGGGAGGCCAGTCCTGCCACATCAGGTGCCCAGGGAAAGTGGCAGAACTCCTCCAGCCTGCCCGGGCCCCTGCTGCCACTGCGGGCAGGTGTCCCAAGAAACATCCCCTCATCGGCGTTTCACAAGGCCTTACCAGTCCTGGCTCTCAATCCATGGGGCCAGGAACTGCCGGAGCTCCATGGGGAAGCTGTCGCTGTAGAGTTGGTGGAGCTGCTCCAGGTACCGTGTGTCGAGCTGCTGTAGCTGGTTCCACTGCGCCATCCTGGCCAGCTCTGGAGACCTGCTGGGATGGGCACACACGTGGCTCAGAGCTGGCTCCCGGCTCCCTCCTGCCAAGACCCAGCTGTGATCCCTCTGGGGAGGACTGAGTGGGTCAGAACCAGAGACAGGCAGGGCACGAGTCTGGGGCGCAGGGCTCCAGGAGGGCTGGTGCGGGCAGGTAGGTCACTGGCAACAGGTAGGAATGAAGCTGTAATCTGGTCTCACAGGCACTCCTGGCCAGCCCTGCCAGGAGGCAGGGAAACAGCTGTGGAGCTTACAGTAAGTGGGGAAGGCGGAGACTGCCAGGAAACTACAGAAACAAGGAAGGAGCAATTTTCGAGTTCATGACTTGTATCAATAAAAATCAACACTAACGAGGGGACTCCAGCTGTGCCCAGGAAGTGAAGGCAGAGTCACTTCCCTGCAGAAAAGGGTTTGCTTTTCCCAAAGGTCGCTGCAGCAAGTGACGCAGCATCGCAGCGTGCCCTGCTCTCCTGTGGTTTGCTATAGGGACTCTTTCCTCGTTTGTCTGGGTGTGAGGAGAGAAAGGGGGAACATCCTCTGTAGGCTGAGGCACAGGGAGGGGACATACACTGGCACCTGACATCGAGTTAAAGAGGTTTTTAGAACTTCATAGCACTGAACAGCCTCAAAGGCAGGAGCAGCCTCCACTGGACATTAACCTTGAACCACAACCCTCTGCTACAATCCTCAGGGAAGTCCATGTGAGCCAAACTTGCTTTCAATGGAGCAATGAGTGAACAGGATGAGAGACACTAGCCATGCAAGATTCAGCAAACAACAAACACTCCTTCAGTCCTGGAGTCAGACCTGGCTGATGTGATGCAGCTTTTGGGATCATCTGGGCTGTGAGCCACAGGCCAGGCTGTGTGTGGGGCAGCACAGCAGAGCCCCCATTCTGCAGAGGGTTCAGCTCTCTGGGGTCGGTTCTCAGCTGATGTAGCTCGGGGAGTGCTCCCTCCACCCTGGCAGCTCCGAGGCTCCAGCCCTTTCACTCAGTCCCAGAGGCCACTCCTGTAACGGAGCTGCTGTTGAGGGGAAAACCCAACAAATGTACAGGCCAGGCAAGAGTGAAAACCCACCATCCCCACGGGGAGTGCCCTGCCTGTCCGGGGAGCTCAGCCACCTCACTTCCTATTGCACCACACGCCGGCACCCCCGCACAGGGGGGGCTGCACCAGCCCCTCCGGAAATGGCAGCAGCTGCTGCCCCAGCCCAGCTCCTGCCAGCCCTGAGCTGAGGATGGTGCCACAGCACCGCGGCATAGGAGGCAGCCACCCGGGCGGCCCCTGCCATGCCTGGTGCCAAACAGTTTGCAGACAGACTTTCCCCTGTCAGGTTGCAGCAACCAAACCAGATGCCACATCCGGACCCTTAATCCAAGCAGATGTTCCACAAGAAAGCCACAATCCCAGTATTTCAGGGCAGTGCTGGAGCCACAATCTGCAGAGCACCAAGGGGTCAAGAGCAAAAGCTCCCAGGCTGCCGTGCGGCAGCGGCACTTGGACAGAAACCAGACACTTCCCACTGCCACAAACAGCTGCAGGACGAGCCAGCTCACAGCACCAAGCTCCAGCTCCTCCCAGCATCCACAGAAGGCAGGACCGACATTCCTGGAGGGAAGGGGTCCCTGCGATGCTCCTTGCTGCAGGAGTCACCAGTGTCAGGGAAGCTCTGACCTTGTCAGCCCTGGAAACCCACGCAGGAGCCTCTCCCTGGCCAGCCCCACCGCCAGGAAACCTCCCTTGCCTGGAGTAAAGATCTGAGGGTTGAACCTTTCCGATTCCACTGGCCTTGCCCATCCCTGCGGTTTGCCTCTCCTCCACCTTTGGAACGGAGCCAGGGAACAGCCGACATGGCCAGGGCCAAGCATGGCATGATGCAAGCCCAGGGGTAAACACGCTATCCAGAGCTCAGAGTGGAGCTGCTAAAAGTAGCTCAAGAGCTAAAGTTCACCTTTCTTTATCTCACTGCAAGGGCAGAGCACAAGAGCTCTGCGGTGCCACCAGCAGCCTGGGACAGCTCTGTGTGCTCCGACGGCTTCACTCACAACAGGGCTGCCCTGGAAGCAACGCTGCCACTGCCCATTCCATCTGCTTTCTTATTTCTGGGACACACCTGGGAACATCCTTCACCTGTGCCCCCACAACGAGGAATGACCCCTGGGGCAATGCATACAGGGGAGTCACTGGAGAGGCCTTGGAAGGACCATGGACTCTGTGTCCCCTGCAGTGACACAAACAGGATGAAGCTCAGTCACTGACAGCGTTGCAAAGGTCACATCATCAACAGCGGGAGCATCACAGGGTCACAACGGATGCCATCAATAACACTTCGGAGCCCCTCGCTGCCCCTGCTTCCACACAATCAACAGCCTGATGGAAAACTGTTCGACACAGCAGCCAATTGCTCCCGCAGCACAAGAGCCAGTTTGGAAAGGCTGTGAGAACTTGGCTCCACTCCTCTGGAGCGATTTCAGAGCCAGTCTTAGAGGTGGAACACAGTGATGAAGAGATTTGTGACACAGGGAGGGAGACGGCTCTGGGAGACCTCACAGCCACGGTGCCGAGTTCCCCGACCATCCCACACGGCTGTCCCCACCACAGCTCTCCAGGGCCCATCCCAATGGAACTCCCACTGCAGGAGCTGTGAGTGACGCTGTCACCATCCGCCCCGGGGCACGGGACACCCAGCCCACATCCCTCCTGTCCTCTGCCACCACCGCTCCAGCAGCTCCAACAGATCCACAGGAAACAGCAGAAAAGGCTCCACTGGGGAGCGACAATGACAAAGATCACTTTCAGGGTGATAAAGGAGTCACGCACAGGCAGGGCCAGGGCCATTCCCAGCCCCTGCAGGTGCAAAGGGAGCGCTCTGGAGCAGGCCCGGGGCAGCTCACCCTCACCGCTGGGACCCCCTGCTGCTCCCGCCGCACACGGGAACGTCCCGCAGCGCAACTCCGAAGCCCTGGGGCCGTGTCACCCCCGCCTGGCTCCAGCGGACCCGGGTGGGCGGCAGCTCCTCCGGCCCCGCCGCTTTTCTCTCTCCGAGGAGCCACAGGGACCCATCCAGCTCCGCACCAGGGCTCGGGCTTCAGGCGACGGGGCAGCCGGGATGGGCCCCCCCTCGTTACCCTGCGGTGCCCGCCCCGCCCCCGCCCCGCTCCGCTGCGCCCCGGCCCGCCCCCCCCGCGCGGGGAGGCCCCGTCCCCGAGCCGGCTCCGGGGACACCGGCTCCCGAGACCGAGCAGCACCTGCCCGCTCGTCCCCCGCGCTCACCGGCGGTCCCGGCGGGCGGGCGGGGCGGTGGCTCCCGGTGCTTCCGGTGCTCCCGGTGCTCCCGGTGCCGGCGGCGATCGCGTCCGGCTGCGCTGACGGACCGGAGCTGCTGCTGCCGGGCTCCGCCCCGAGTGACGTCACAGCTCAGCGACCAATGGGAACGCGGCACTGCCGCAGCCCCGCCCCGAACCGGCCCCGGTGGCCAATCAGCGCGGTCGCTGCGCGGTGCGTCACGGTGCGCGGCGGGGGGGCTGCCACTGCAGCTGTTCCCGGAAGGCACCGCCTCCCACCGCAGGGCAGTGCTGGGCAGGGGCGGTGCGAGGGGGGGAGAAGCGACTGCCGGGAACAGCCGTGCGGGAAACCCGGCCGGGTTCCGGGCAGCGCCGTGACGTCACGCGGCCGCCGCCGCTACCGCCGCCTCTTAAAGGGGCCGCGCCCAGAGCAGCGCCCCCGCGTGGGGAACCGGGGAGTGGCCCCGGGGGCAGCGCAGCGGAATCCGTGTGGGGCTGTAGGGATTGATCCCATGTGGGGCTGTAGGGATTGGTCCCATGTGGGGC